CGATAAGTCTGGCACATCAAGGCAATTAGGGGTGGCCAGGCAGGCAAATAGGTGAGCAATTAGGAGCCAGCGTTCCAGGATTGTGAGAAGGCTGTCCCCCAAGGTGTCCAGGATCAGAGAGGGTGCAGGCTGGGGTGAGGGGATACCCCCACCCCCACCACCATGCACGAATTTCATACACCAGCCTCTAGTATATATATATTCACTGAAATTCCTGGCTGGGAAAACCATAGGGCTTAGAGGAACAGGTGTTTGGCAGTAGTATATGACAGTTTTCTTTTATCTTCTGTTATGTCTTTGGCTTGGCTAACTTTCATTCTTGGTGTTTGAACCTTAGATAAAGCAACCGTTTCAAAAGTCTTTTACTGTATACTAAGTTGAATTTTCTTTCCCACAGAATCTTTCAATGGGTCCCCTACAGGAAGCATAAATTTGGTATGTACTGTTATGGGTACTTAATTATTAAAGTGGCTTGAAAATAATATGAGTTTTAACATGAAAATGAATAATATATTTAGAAGCCCCCAAATCATCCATTAGTATTAATAGGAAATTATACTTTTAAAGAAATGTTAAATTCAGATATAAGACATCTGTGAATTAGAATTTGAAAATGAAACTTATTTTCATTTAGTATTTTTAAATTACTCTACTTAGTACAATGATAGGTAGTAAATTTGTGACATAAATAATTTACATTGGAATTAGTTTCTTCTTTTGTATTTAGAAAAGAAATATAAAACTAGTTGGGATACCTGAAAACTTATAGATATTTCTTAAAGTCTACACTATAATAGATTCAGGTGGTTGTAAATTTTTTTAATTGTAGAGAGTTTTATAGTGAATTAGGCAAGTATTCTATGATTATAGGTTTAAGAATGACAGGTTTTTAGCATATGAGCTCTCATTGATGTTTCATGTTATACAAGGTGAGCTGTGAAGTAATGAACATTTCAGTTCTTTTATAGTATTTTCATTGAATAACTTAATTCATAAAATGCTAGTAGGAAGAAATATTAGTGTTCTCTAAAGTTCAGTCCAGAGTTTGCAGGGTGTCCGGGAGATTGCTTGGTTTTTCCTTCCACCTACATAACTTTCTCTCAGACTTTTTGCAATAGTTAAGTGGTATAGAGGTCCATTATCTTATGTTGTTTTCTATACTATACACTTACTTCTAAAATAACCTCACTGAGTAACTGCTCTATTACCATACAAAGTATAACCTTCAACAAAATATTGCAGCAAATCAGCCAGAGTGTTATGTCAGATATTTTGTAACATTTAAAATGTTTTCCTAAATCATTTAGTATCATTATCATTTACTTGTTATATTCTATAGCTTTATAACAAAAAGGAATAGCTCCTAGAGCAGGAAGAAAATGTTAGCAAAATTTTCATTATATAGAGTAAGTTTCCAGTGTAACAAAACCTTTGGTTGGTTTTAAAGAGAGTGGGAGGGAGGGAAGGAGGGGGAAAGAGAGAGAGAGAGGAGAGAGGAGAGAGAGAGAGAGAGAGAGAGAAAGAGAAAGCATTGATGTGAGAGAGACACATGGATTGGTTGCCTTCTGTACATGCACAGACCAGGTTGGGGATGGAACCTGCAACCCAGATATGTGCCTTTGACCAGGAGTTGAACTGGGACCCTTAAGTGTGCAGGCCAACACTGTTCCCTGAGCCACACCAGCCAGGGTGAAAACTTGGTTGTTTTATGTTCCCTGTGCTGGTTTGTAATTTGAAGATAGCATAGATAATCTAAATTTTGTAGAATACTCTGTTTCCTCTGCATCTTTTCTCTTTCATATAAGGGTAATATTAAAGCATAGATTGTGCTATTTCTACTGCAATATTTTATTATAGGTCATATGAGCACTTAAAAATAAATTCTATTTCTTTTTAAAGTATTTTCATTCATATTCTATCCTAGTGGTCGGCAAACTGCGGCTCGCGAGCCACCTGCAGCTTTTGGCCCCTTGAGTGTGGCTCTTCCTAAGACTTAGGAGTACTCTAATTAAGTTAATAATAGTGTACCTACCTATATAGTTTAAGTTTAAAAAATGTGGCTCTCAAAAGAAATTTCAATCGTTGTACTATTGATATTTGGCTCTGTTGACTAATGTGTTTGCTGACCACTGTTCTATCCTGACAGAGTTTAGAGCTGGCATTATATTATTGGGAAAAGTAGATTCAGGAGAGACTAGGTGATATGGCTGAAGTCTCTTATGGTATCAGTGGTGAAGCTGGACTAGACCTGATTTATTTTGATGATCCTCCCACTTGACTTGACCAGGGGAGTGCAGTGATATCTGTATGGATTTATCACATTTGCCTCTCTTAATGATCGGTCTTTAGTAGATACACTTTTGGCTGTCTTAGAGTGCAATTGCCATAATTTAAATGGTTTTATGTCATCGATATGGCACATTCTAATCATTTAGGTGACTCTTTTACTAATAATTGGTAATATCACATTAGGATTTCAAAGTTCATTCAGTTCATTTGGTTATTGAAGTGTAAAATATGACACAACCATATGTTTGTGTGTCAGAGGTCCCCAGCACCACTCCTATGACCAGTGATTTACTAAGAGGTGTCACAGACCATGACATAGTCATGCTCATGGCTAGGATTTATGACAGTAGGTCCTTGGGTTACGTGGGAGATCCATTCCTACGGGTCGTGTAAGGCGATTTTCTCCGTAAGTTAGAACCCACCTACATAAGCACCTACCTCACTCACATGGAGCACAGACACAGCAGTAATGAAGTGAGACAGTAAAAAACAATTTAAAAGAAAGATAACAATTCTTGACCTTGTGGTAAATAAATAATAAAAAACATAAAGCACATATGTACATACGTCAAAATGACGGAACTTTTTTTATATATAAATAAATGGGAGATGGCAACGTAACCACGGAGCGACATACGTCAAGTCTGATGTAACCCGAGGACTGCCTGTATAGCGAAATGGTATAAAGCAAAATCAGCCAAGGGAAAAGTTGCATGGAGTAAAGCCTAGAGTAAACCTGGCACAGATTTCCAAGAATCCTTCCCCATGGAAATCCCATGGCACAAACTTAATTCCCCCATGATGAATGTTACAGCACAGGTGAAATGCTGCCACTAGGAAAGCTACCGAACTAAGTGCCTAGGGTTTTTATTGGAGGCAGGTCATATACGCACACTCTGCCTAGCATATGCCAAAATTCCAGATTTCCAGAAGGAAAGCAGGTGTTCAAGATAAACCACATCCTTGTATAAACAACTCAGGTAGTGTGAGCCACTCTTAGCAGTTAGGAAATGGCAGGAACCTTCCCTAAATCAAATTCCCAGATGCCATCCAAGGGCCAAGATTGCACGCAATCTCACGCAGTTTCAACCCTGCTCTATTAACTCTTCTGTACAGTTTGTCTTCATTGTATGTTTATTTTCTTTTCTCTGTATGTGTGGAGACTGTAAATATATATATAATTTTAAATTTAGACTCAAAAACCATAGTTATAAAAGATCTCAATCAATTAGTAATAATTTTTGTTTGTGAAATTAATTTTGAAAATTAATTATTTAAAATCCATCTTGGGCTATGGATTCAGTCCATTTAATACATAATCTTAATAATAGTTAACATTTTTTGGGTTAGGCAGTCTTCTAAATGTTTTACATGTCTTCTCATTTAATCCTCACGTAATCCTGTGACGTAGGTCCCTTTATTTTATTTTATAAAGAATCTAAATTAACTAAAATTATTTTTAAATTAACAAAAGTGCAGTTAAATAATACAGAGTTGGCTGTAGTATATTTCAACATTTTAAAAAATTCAAAACATTTAATTAAAATATGTCCACTTATTTTTATCCACATTTTTTCTTGCTGTGTATTGAATATAACTGACAGGTAGCAAATTTTAGCATATGGACAAGCAATGAAGGAATAATCTGATTGATTTGATTAAGAGTATTTCTAAATTACTTTGTTTTATAGTTTCTTAATCTTGGCTTTTCTTTTTCCTGTTGGTGTAAAAGTGAGGGTTATTGTTAATGTGGTGGCTTTACAAATAATATAAAGATTATATGGGGCAAAGGTGAGTAATGCATATGTGATGTGGAATTCTTTAACACTTTTTTCCTATGAAATTAAAATCTTGTTTCTTGATTTCCCCTCTCCCCCAAGTCTTTAGATGACCTTTCAAATGTATCTTCTGATGATTTAATACAACTTCATGCTTACATTTCAGACACAGGTAAGAAACTTAAAAATTTGATTATTATTACCCTTATATGATTTTCCACATTTATTTTTATAAGCCATTCTTCTATAGTCATATTTTTAAGTTAGTTTTTCCCCTGCAGCATGTTCCTCATTAAATTCTTTGAAATTTACTTACTTGTGTATATAGGTATTTTCTTTCTGTAAGGTTGTCACTGTTAACATTTTAAAAAGCTCAAATTCTAAGTATTTTGTCATTGCTAATAAACTCGAACCAATCTTTCTCTCTTTTTATTTGCATCTAGCTGATATTTGTCTGCATAATTCTCATTAAATCATTTGGGAGACAGATTTTAGTTCAAAATTTGTTTTCATGAATACAAAGCCAATTAGATAACTGAATAAATGAAGCTTATAGAGGTATATGAGTTTACAGAAGTTCAAGACATGCTTGGATTAGGTGAGAAACCTCTAAGATTTTGTGTCTCAGTCAGCAATATGGTTAGTGAACAGAGAAAAAAATCAATATTCATCATTGCCATTAGGTTATTAGATAAAGTCAGTAAGTAGTAGATAATGACATTTTCTTACGTGGTCTCTCCTTGGTCCTAGAATATAGGAGTATTGTGATAGATTACATATTAAAGTATAGACATACTGAGATATAAGTCTCAGTTCAATTTAATGCTTACATTTTAGATACTGAAATGAAATTTATAGTATAAGTGCAGTTTAAAAGATAATTGGCATTATTTTTTTAAATCTGTTTTCTTTTGCTTTTACTGGAGCTGGAATCTCATTTTGCATTCTGTTCTCTGCTAAATTTCTGTAATAACTTATCTATAATTTCTGTCTCAGTTCCTTTTTTTTTTTTACAGTAGTTGGTGTACACATTACTTTGCTCTTAAATGTCTTAGATAAAAACCTTGTCAATAAAACCATGTTGCTTTTCTTTCTAGCTTTTGCTAGAGTTGTCCCACCTTTTCCTTCATTAAAATTTTAAATTATTTTATAAACCTCTATTTTCTTGGTTGGCTTGTCTTCCATATGAAAGCCTTTGTTAAAGTGCAAACATTTAGTATTTGTGCTTTTACTTCTTTCTTGAAGACCTTAAGCTTTCATGTCTAGAGGAAGATGCTCATGCCCATATTTCTTTTGTGGATCTTTCTCCTCTCTGAGAGTTCTGATTTTCCAGCTGCATTGTCCATTTATTTAGCAAGTATTTATTAGCTTCTTGTAGGAAGCACAATGCTAAGCATTTTTAATAAATTGTTATTCTTGTCAGACAAACATTTAAATACTAAAAAAGCAGCATACATAGTAGTTAGGAGCACAACGTTTTATCCGGATTGCTTGGGTTGAAACCCGAGCTTTGCCACTTAATACTTGGGTGAAATTGGGTGGGTTCTTTAACTTCTGTTCTTCAATTTCCTTATATGTAAAATAGAATAATAATACTACTTATTAGTAATGCTTATCTCATAGGGTTATTATAGGACTAATGAACTCATTACAATAGTAATAACCTGATGGGGATTTTATATTAGTGCTTGTTCTATAAATATTTATTCTATCAACTAGAGGCCTGAGTGTGGTCTGGCTGGCTCACCCCAATTGGGGCCCATTGGGCCAGGCCGGCGGTGGGGAGGGGCCACGGGCATCCAGGGAGAGGGGCCGGGGGCGGTTGGCGGTCGGCCCCGCCCCTGATCAGGGTGTTGGGGGCAGATCAGGGACAGGGCCGGCTGGAGTGGGGGGGTGGACAATAAGGGCCCCGCAGGCTGGTTGGCTGCTACAGTGCGCATCATAGCCACTGGTGGTTCTGGTTGTTTTGCCGTTCGGGCCGCTGGGCTTTTATATGTATAGATTGGCCTCCTGCTTCTCTCTGAATCTAGATCTTCACACTCTTAACCTCTTTATTATAGGAAGAACTGATAGTCTAGTGTAGTGCTACTCAAACAGTGGTCCATAGACAAGTGCTTATTGCTTCCTTCATTGCAAAATCTTGCTTTAAAAAATATTGGCTAAATTAAGCAATATGCTTAGTGATGAGATTGATTTATATTCTGGTCCTACATTTTTATCTGGCTATAGATTAATAACAGTTTGCATATCACCTGCTATGAGTAACATGGTCCTAATGAAAACAAAACCTATTTCCACTGTTATATCTTACCATCATCCCAAAGTCAATACATGTAACCTCATTTATCTTCTTTAAAGCCAAATTACCTTCTGTCTTCTGTACTGCTTTTATAATAACCTCATTGTTTTTCCTATGGTGCAAACATCCTGGCCATGATCTCTGTGCCTATTAATTTGTGATAAATCTGATTATTATTTTGTAGAATGCTTTCTTACATTTCTCTTTTTCTATTCCTTGCTATTCTCCTTGCTGTTATTAACTCCTAACTGGTTATGGTTTGGTGCCTAATTGACTTCTGTTTTCTATTTTCCTTTCCCAAACGTATCTTAAACACAACAGATAAAGCCATTCCCTTATTTATAGGCTAACTCTCTTGAATGAGGGCCGGTTCTCACATGATGAAAAAGTGTATGGCAGTTTGTTATGCATAGGTCTCTGAGAGAAG